TTTTTTTTTCAATTTTATTTCCTTTTCACAAATGATACACATCAAGTAGATAAAAAAAACATCTCTGCACATTACACATCTGACTCATTGATCCAACTATTATGAGAATCATCAAAGCCTAACCACTTCACATATAATTTATTTCCTCGTTTTTTAATCACTTTTTCAATCAGGTATACATCAGGATGCTTAACTTCAGATAATTCCTCCTCATAGAAACTTCCTTCAATAGGATTATCTTGATAATCAATCAATTTATAAGTAGTTGGTTCAGTCCTCCTCACGCGAATGATCTTGAAAATTTCAGTTGTCCAATTGGGTGTATAGCCTTTTTCAAANTTTTTTTTTCAATTTTATTTCCTTTTCACAAATGATACACATCAAGTAGATAAAAAAAACATCTCTGCACATTACACATCTGACTCATTGATCCAACTATTATGAGAATCATCAAAGCCTAACCACTTCACATATAATTTATTTCCTCGTTTTTTAATCACTTTTTCAATCAGGTATACATCAGGATGCTTAACTTTAGATAATTCCTCCTCATAGAAACTTCCTTCAATAGGATTATCTTGATAATCAATCAATTTATAAGTAGTTGGTCCAGTCCTCCTCACGCGAATGATCTTGAAAATTTCAGTTGTCCAATTGGGTGTATAGCCTTTTTCAAAAACATGTTTATATTTGCTGATTCTCACTTTGTCATTGATTTTGAATTTCGCTTCTTTAACTCTATTGTTCAGAAATTTTCCATAAACTTGGTGACGAAGGAACTTTTCATTCGTTTCATTCACATCCTTGGGTTTCATATGAATTGTTCGATGTTTTGTATCATTATAAGATGATATAATGTCAGGAAGTATATCGAACCATCTGTATGATCCTTGGAGAGAGAATTTTTTCCACATTCGCTCTTTTAACGTAGGGTTGAATCGTCCACAAATCGACGCTTTTAAATTACTAAACGTTGAATACATTTTTATATCAAATTTTTGCATCAGATTTTTGAATTCTTTGTTATAGAATTCTTTTCCTTGATCAACATGTAGCTTTTGAGGTACTCGACCTTGATTGAGTACAGATTCCATAGCTTTTGTTACATCCAATCCACTTTTTGATTTAATGGGTACTGCCCATGCAAATTTAGAGAAAATGTCGATAATTGTGAGTAGAAATTTATAACCATCATTTTCTTTAGCATATGCTGACATATTCACAAGATCAGCTTGCCAAGTTTCATTGAAACCTCGTATATCTACTCTGCGTCTGGGATAATTCCTACGCGCAGGTCTGTGGAGTTCCTCAACTAGAGCTTCTTTTTCCGCCTTAAACTTTTCTGTTTTTCCTTGTTTTTTCACCTTCATTCTCAGTTAACGTTTTAGAACTTCTCTTAACACGTTTCACTTCTTTTCCACTATCTGAAAACTCTGGTGCAGCTGCTATACTATTATCTTCATTCGATTCGATTGGAGAATTTTTACCTGAACTCTCCAATGTTTTCACTCTCTCATCTAGTGTTCGAATGGCTTCAAGGTTCTGTGTCATGTGTTTTTCTAGTAAATTAATCCGGAAATCTTCAATCAGCCGCTTGACAACCTTCATGGAAACTACATCATTATCTTCTACTGCTTCAGCAATGTTACATAATCGCTTATTCTTCATATCAAATTGTCCATCTGCTGTGAGCTTGAAGCCCCGACCTGGGGGTCCTTGAATATTCCGGGGTGNTGCTTGAATAAGATCAATAAATTTGCATTGTCACGTACGAGATGTTTTGGAATACGCGTATATGTTTGACAAAGGTAAAAGCAATCAACATTTCGGTGACGCCCCATACAAAAGAAAGCACGCATATTATCTTGCTTTTCGCACGCAACATCATCAAAAATGAAGATGGAATTGGGGTTCGCATCTTCAGGTTTTATGACTTCTTCATGTTCGTTGAATGGAAAATATCCAATTGTATTCGTTGCTTCTAAAACTTTTCTTAGAAACTCATATTTCGGTTGGTTCAAAGACTTTGAATACACATACACGTTTTCGAATCTAAGACCATTCGGATGTGTAATCAACGCCAATAATGCATTTGTTTTACCACAGTTGGTAGGTCCACAAAAAATTGCTCGAACTGTATTCGGTAGTAATTCACCATGACGTCTCTCTCTCATTTTATCATCTACATTCTGTACTACTTGATCGAAATTCAAAATGGGTAATCTCACTTCCTGTTCCGCAAACTTTATTTTTTGATGAGTATTGCTCATGACTTCTCATGTTCAACTGAGATGAAAACATATAAATAGTGGGTTTATATACCATTCACGCTCAGTTGAGCATGAGCTATGATAGTGAGAGGATGTAAGAGAAGTGTAAGAGGAATTTTCAATAAGATAATCAACAAATTACCGATCGAACTACATATCCCCGGATATCAATATTGTGGACCAGGAACGAAGCTGTCAGAGAGGTTAGCTCGCGGTGATCCTGGGATCAATCTTCTCGATAAAGCGTGTAAGGAACACGATATCGCATATTCAAAGAATCGAGAGAATCTCTCCGCAAGACATAACGCTGATAAAGTATTAGAAAACAGAGCGTGGACACGTGTATTGTCAAAAGACGCGGGTTTGAGCAAAAAAGCTGCAGCTTGGGCTGTAGCTAATGCTATGAAAGCCAAGACCAGCTTTGGATTTGGATTGAAAAAAAGAGTGGCGGGAAAATCTAGTAAACGTAGGAAAAATCTTGTGAAAAAGAAGAAATCATGTGGACGTGGTGCTGCTGCAAAAAAGCATGTTGCTCTCAAAACCATCATCAGAGCGGCGAAACAATCGATGCGCCCGGGAGATGCGATCAAATTAGCTCTTCAAGCTGCACGAGATGCTGTCCGAAACGCTGGAGGAAAGCGCTCCGTAAAATCGTCAAGAGTATTACCAGTACCCGGAAAAATCGGTGGAGTACTACCATTCTTGATTCCCTTACTTGCTGGGTTAAGTGCCACGGGAGCTTTAGCTGGAGGTGCCGCTGGTATCGCAAAGCTGTGAACGACGCGAAAGCAGCTAAGCAGTACCTTGATGAGAGTAAACGTCATAATCAAGCAATGGAAGCAATTTCAATGGGTAAAGGATTGTATCTGAAGCCGTATAAAACAGGATTGGGACTCCATTTGCAACCAAAAAACTCATATAGCTACCACACCGAGCCCTCAGTGATGCTGATATCATAAAATACTCCAAACTCATGAAAATTCCATATTTCCGAAGAGTTTACATGAGAAATGGATTGCCCCTAAATGGACCTCGGGTAAATGAATCAGCTATAGTGAATTTGGATGATAGGGATGGTCCTGGCACTCACTGGGTGGCATATAAGAAACAGAAAAATGAAATCATTTATTTTGATAGTTTTGGAAATTTACAACCACCAAAAGAATTGATGGATTATTTCGGTGTTGGTAGCCTTGTCAAATATAATCATCAGAAGCATCAAGAGTATGACACAATCATATGTGGTCATCTATGTCTGAAATTTCTCAAAGGACAGATATAAATATCGCTCACATTCATTCATTGAGTTAGTTTACTGCTGACAACCATGGGAGAATCTTTCACATTAACACTGTCGGGGACCTCTTCTATTCTAGAAGCGAATTATTTTCCTCCCATTGAATTATCTCACAATCATCACTACAGCTTGGCTCTTGTTGAATTATTGACATTCAATTCAATTCCAAATATTACAGAAAAGAATAATAAATTCTACTACTCTGATAATGAGAATAAGAAGTATACAATCAGCGTTCCTCAAGGTAGTTATGAGATTGAAGATATTCAAAATTATTTGCAGAAGGTTCTGCAAAAGAGAGGTGTTTCAATCAACATAAAAGCCAATAATAATACTTTGTGCAGTGAAATCAAAAGTGATCATACAATTAATTTTGAACCTTCCGATTCGATTGGTAGATTATTAGGATTTGATAACAGAATTTTATCACCTAATAAATCACATTTATCTGATTTGCCAGTTAGGATTCTTAAGGTGAATTCTATGTGTGTGTGGAGTGTAATATCATTGGAGGTGCGTATATTAATGGGAAGAAAGCTCCTATCATTCATGAATTTTTTCCCACTGTGCCTTCAGGATATAAGGTCATTGAGGTGCCGAAGAATCTCATTTACCTTCCGATCGTGGTCCAAGCAATAGATCATCTCCAGCTGAGATTGGTGGATCAGGATGGTGAATTGTTGAACTTCCAAGGAGAATTAATTACAATAAGACTTCACATCAAACGTACCTAATGGGTATTGTTTTCCAAACGAAGATCGGGAAGAGCTATAAAAGGGAGTCATCCCCCCAGATGACTAGCAGTCGTCAAAGATCCATCAAACCGTTAACACGTGAGAGTATTCAATTCCTCAAGAGCTTAAACTTGAGACCTCGAGTGTAAATCCAATCATAGATAAGGAAAAAATAATATATTATGGAGGACATCTTGAAGATTCAAAAATCTATCATCTTCGATGAGTCAGTTTCTCACTATGAGATGCATACCCATCAACCCTTTGCTTCATCAAGCTACGGTAATAATGATGTAATTTCAATTACTGTGCAACATCAAGATTTATGTTTATTGCCCAGTAAGAGTCATCTGCATATTAATGGTCGATTAACCAAAGATAATGGAACAACACCAGCCGAGAGAACAAGACTCGTGAGTAACGCTATCTGTCATCTGTTTGAGGAAGTGCGATATGAGCTCAATGGTGTAGAGATTGATCGAGCGAAAAATGTGGGTTTAACGAGTCTCATGAAAAATTATGTTTCTCAGAGTCCTAACCAGTGATTTTTTATGGAGAATGCAGGTTGGCTCAAGAATGATAGTATGGATAGTAATGAGAAAATCACTGATAATGCAGGATATTTCGACATCTCTATACCATTAAGTCTTCTACTTGGCTTCGCTGAAGATTATCAGAAGATTGTTGTGAATGCAAAACATGAACTCATTATTACGAGATCGAAAACAGACATCAGTGCAGTACTTCAGAGAGCTGTCAATCAACAAAACCCAGAGGAGAAATGGAAGATCAACCTTCAAAAGATTGAGTGGTTGATCCCCTATGTTAAAGTGTCGGACGAGCGCAAGGTGAAGCTGCTCAATTTCATCGCAAAAGACACACCCATTACAATGGGCTTTCGTACATGGGAATTGTATGAGTATCCTCTTCTCCCAGCAACCTCGAAGCATGTTTGGGTTGTGAAGACATCATCTCAATTGGAGAAACCAAGATACGTTATTCTTGGATTCCAAACGAGTCGTAAAAACATTCAGACAGCCAATGCGAGCCACTTCGATCATTGCAGTATCAGAGATGTGAAGCTTTTCCTCAACTCAGAGAGCTACCCATATGGCAATTTGAATTTGGATATTGCCTTCAATCAGTATTCAACACTATACGACATGTACATGAACTTTCAGGAGTCTTACTACGGAAAGGAAGCTGAGCCGTTATTGAATAGAGAGAAATTTCTAACAGACGCACCATTAATTGTAATCGATTGTTCCAAGCAGAATGAGTATTTGAAAACCGGACCAGTTGATATTCGTCTGGAATTTGAATCATCATTTCCTTTTGCACCCAACACATCAGCGTACTGTCTCATCCTCCATGATCGAATTGTTGAATACAATCCTATGAGTGGAGGAGTTAAGAAACTAATGTAAATATAGGAGGTTATGAAGCCGTAGGCGATGGAGGATATAAAAATAAATAAATCAAGATAATCATGTATATTAAAAGATAAATATATATATATTTTTTTTTATTAAAAAAATCCATGGTCTCATTATTCTATACACACACCTTCTCCCCATCAACATCATAATAATAAGAGTAATAATAATATTGAAAATGACTTAGAACTATGTAAAACGAGTTTCAAAAATATTTAGTCTATGTTGTTTTGATAATACAGGGTTCAGTATTTTTTCATAAGAATTTATTTGACGTTTGAAACGCTCATGATCACGAGCGAACTCTTCCCGTGGGCCTCGACGAGCAGAATGATATGCATACTCCCAATGCAACATCAAATGAACTCGTGGTTGTAATTGACAACTAATTCTCTTAGTTTTATTTTCTTGCTGATCCTTTACAGGTTCCATCGTTCAGATTAAATCAGCAGGTTGGTGGCCATGAGAAACGAAGAATATATCGTACTCCAAACCCAGGAGTTCAATGGCGGATCGCAAATGTTCAAAATTTGCTTTGATGGTCTGCAGAGATTGAGATAACTTCTCACAAGGATAACACTTTGATGCCTCTCCACGTTTGAACTTGGAGCATAGCGCTGTGAAGTTTTTACGAATTCTAGAGATGAATCCTGTCAATGGTGGAATTGGTTCAGCTGGAGCATGAATCAGTACTTGCTCGACAACCTCATTGTCATTGAGGCAGTATGGTGGAACTGAATTCAACCATTGAATTTCATCAATACTCGCTACCTCTGATTCATCCTCTGTGTTGGTGATCTTGTCTCTCAGCTCCTCGCAGAATTTCTTCAATTTCCCCAAATTGTTGATACTCTCGATTATGTTTGATAAGTCCTCACCTCGAGTAGAACATTGAGAACAATTGGTTCTCCTACCAGCATCTCGCTGAGCTTCCAGGACTTCATAATTATTCCACAAACAATGCAAGTCAGTCACGAGGTGTCTTGCAAATTTATGCAAACTTTCATCGAAATGTTCACGGATGATCACTTCATCTGTACTGCATGCTCCACCACCATTCTTATTAAAATGATTATGATAACACATTACCACTACGTCCACGTGTACGTTGTGAGGTTTAACTGTCAGAACTGTGACTCGAATTGAATGTGGACTGCGCAGATGGTGCGTGTTATATAGGGATCCCCTACCCTGATGGTAGCTTATGACTCATCTCAGAACATTCAAGAACATTAGAGAATATTCGAGATCAATCGAGAGAGAAATAACTGATATCTTCCTCATATTACATGATGATTCATCATGGTATTATATTTCATGCAAGTTCCAACAGGAATCAGGAGGTATCCCCACCATGCGCGAGTTGATGAGTCATCAATGAACCATTAATGATGGTGGTGCCACCTGGCGGTAGTTGTGTGAATGAGTATTCAGAACATTCGAAAACATGTTTGAAACATTTTGAAAACATTTTGAAACATTTCAAAAACATTTTGAAACATTTTGAGCACATTTTGAAACATTTCGAAAACATTTGAAACATTTAGAGCGCAGAGGAATTATAAGATATCCCCACCCCGCAGAACAATGAGTCATCCCCAGATACCAGGATGACATCATCCTTCCAGAATATTCCCCGACCGTGCTGCCACCTGGCTCTCGAATATTCAGGATGACGTCATCCTTCTAGAAAACTCTACGATGGTGGTGCCACCTACGTGACAGTCGAATCCCCCCAGCGATATAAGTCCCAACAGGACTCCGGAAGTCCCCCCACCACACCCCCAAACCGATGCGTCATCATGATGACTCACCGATGATGTCATCCATCTCGAAACTTCTGCGACTGTGGCGCCACCTGGTGGCGGGCGCCGGAACTTCTATTCAGAACCCGCCTAGCTTAACTACTCACTTCGGAATCTATGGATTTTATCGTCAGAAAGATGTTAAATAATTTTCAGTCCTGAAGCAAAGTAAATCACCACACAAATAACAACTCAACACTCGTACCAAAGACTCAATTCATCACAGCACTAAAAGACGACTGAATAATATCCGAACTGTTTGTGCAAATTCCATAAATCCCCCACCACAACACATTCTTGAGGCACTAGGCCTCGGTGTTGAAGAGCGACTTTTTTAGACTTTATATTATTGTTTGCAATGATAAACTATGGAATTTTATGTATAAATTATTGAAATAAATTTGGAGTCATGCAATGCGACACTTTGCCGTACTTTTTATTAAGTTTAATATTGAACCGTCGCAAACATAACTAATGTATCCCTATAATCCACACAATTGAACAGGAAAGCTTGAAAAAAATGTCAAGAAAACTTTTCTGTAGGTGGTGAAATTTTCGGCAAAAAATGCTGTCTAAATCGAATTTATGAATAAGTTATTCATTTTCCTCCGTGTTGACATGGAAAGACTGATGATCAAATGAAGCGATGAGAAATAACCCTGAATCTCTTGGAAACGCCAAATGAAATTACGGAACAACCCCCATAAATAAAATAAACATTACTCACTGAATTTTTCACCCAAAATCATTTTCGTTGAATTTATATACCCTGAAATTGCGATGGCATAAATCACATCCTAGAGTCGTGCGTTTCACACTTGATTCCCTCCCTCGAGTTCACAGGATCTGATAAAGTATATGTATAGCCGACCGTCAGCTGGCGCCGCGGTCGACGAATTTCCGCACTGCCTGCGACCCACCTACACCTATTTCGGATTCCAGCACACCCTCAATCTGTCCCCGAAACTTTAATCCCAAATCAAGTCTAACCGTCGCTGTAGTATTTCGCACACAGAATGAATTGTAACGATGAGATGGTGCATTGAATTGTGTGTTCACTACATATACTTGAACAACATACTTAAGAACATACTTAAGTAAAGATTGACATGTATTGAATTGGGATATTATTCAAGTTCAAGATCATTCATCTTCATTGACATTAAACTTGATGACATTGATAATTTTTAATTTTTCCGATTGAGGAACAAAAATGATTCATGTTATAACAGAGCTACGGGACACCTTCAAAAAGGTGCTTAAAAATCAACCAACCAACCAATCGCGTACTAGTTTTCACCCTAGCCCGCAGTACTAGTGTTCCAGATCTTATGATATATCTGTACAACGAGATAAGGATGCAGAATACTATACGAGGCGTCTAAAAAAAGGTTTAAATACGTGTTTAACGAATTAGGTCCCCATAATTATTTTTAAGTCATTATAGAAATCCAGCTCGATCGGATTATGACCCTTCATAAAATGATTATGTTTTATATGGTCATGAATTGACTTCCTTAATTATTATTAATTTTCCAAAAATTCTAAAGCGTAGAAATTTTTTAAGTTAATAATTGTTCAAGAGTTCAGTCAAGGTCAACTAATCTTTTTATGATGAATCAAAGCTGTAATGCATCAAATCTAATTTTTATCATCTCGAAATAATTAGCTCGGAGAGCTGCATCTTTCAAGAATGATTTACTCCTTTTGAATAAATACTTTTTTAACAGAAAATTTTTTTTCTCGCGGCGTAGAAAAATGTTAACGTAACGCGTAACTAAAGTAAAAATTTATCATTTAGAAAAATTCAGATGAGTAATAATTTTCGTATTATTACCACACGGAGGGAAAAATTCAATAAAAATTACCAGAAAAAAACGTAAAAATTACGTTTCGAAACATAATCCGCGAGCGAGGTAAAATTCAATACAAAGTGTGAGTCGGAACTGAAATTGTACGAATCGCCATGTAAATTTTGCGATTTGTTCCGTAAAAATTAACCACCCATCTGATGACTCATCGCTGTGGAGACGACAAGTCGTTCCGTAATTTTTCCCCAACGATTGACAAATTTTACGGAACGGAATGTAGAAATAACTCACCAGCTTCATAAAAATTGTTGAAGATTCAAGAATTTTTGATTTTGCAAACATAATAAGTCGGGAAGTTTCTGTAAGATTTGTCTCCTTCGGGGAAAATTACGTGACAATTCCGGACTTTGCTCGGTGATAAACCTGAAAATTCACTGATCGTTTCAGATTTCTTCTCTTCCATTTGTATAAAAATTGCCGGAAAACGATTCCCCATTACGGATTACGTGAATTGTTCCGTAATTTTTACTGAATATTTCTCTCTGTGCAATCTTTTTTAACGTTTGTCCCAAGAACAAATCAGTTTTGCATCTGAGATTAATAAACGCTTTGTATTGAATGTACCTTAAAAAGTTGTCGGTCACCAATATGAATCAATTGTCACATTTATCATAACGTATTAAATAGTTTATTTCCATCATGACCAAGAAAGTTGTATAATCACGATAAATGCAAGAGATGCATGTTAAAATACTCCAATGAGCATGTATTCAATTGACGCATTACATCGCTCAATTACATTCACATGTATTAGTAGTGAATAATGGTGCTTCATTTTCACTGCTACCGCACACGGGGGTCGACGTATAATTACACGGCCGAGAGAAAAGGCACTCAGCTGCAATTACACGTCACTACGGAGAGCAGAGAGGTATTTCGGATGAGCCATGTATAAAATTTCATTATGAAAATTAAAACTCTGCAGCTGAAGGTTCAAAAGAAATGCATGAGGAAAAATATCATAGAAATGAGAAATTTTTCAACTTCCCGACTCGAATGGAAAAAGTTATTGTAATGATCCCGAAAATCGAATTGTGGAAATTTTATGACTTCCCCGCATACTGTGATCCTTAAGAATGTTTCACCTATCAAGTGGACAACTCAGTTGAAAAGAAAGAGGGAATTGACTAGATAAATCATTCATGTTAGAAATTATTTTTTTCATCAAATTATAAGTATTATGGCGTACGTTTCCGGTCTCAAAAAAAAAAAATTCAAGAAAATGTTCATAAATAGTGGACTTGCGACTGCAGATTAACAGTCGAATTTTGATCAGGCAACATCGCACGCTTCGGCTAGTAGTGGGGTTGTAACA